TCCTGCTGAGACAGGGGATAATGAAAAATGACAATTTATATATTATTGATCTTTAAGTTGATGGTATCCATCCCTTTTTTTGGGCAGTTTACATAGGCAGCGTGCAGAAGCATGCTACAAAAAGTTCCTAATTGTTAATACTAACATTGTTTTGTTATTATTAGGGTGAACACTTCAGAGAGGTTATGAGGCGGATTCAGACAATGCTGGACATACAAGAAAAAGAATTTGAAAAGGTAATGGCAAGTTGGGAGAGGTTTTATTGCTGATTGTAGAGCCTGAATGAGTTTACTTTCAGAGTTGGAACACCACAGATTTGGGATAAGTGTAGATTTTGATCAATAGAACAGTTTCTTGACTTAAGTAGTGCTTTTTCTAATAATTAGGTGGGATTTGTAGGAGTGGTGTTTCTGTCCTACATCAAAAGAGATATTCAGAAAAACACTAAAGTTACGTAGAAAAGCTTAGATGTTGCAGGACCTCTAGAGGCCACATGCTTCAGGTTCCTGCTCACAGCAGAACTAGCTTGAAGTTAAGTCAGGTTGCTCAGGGTTTTACCTAGTTGCAATTTGAAAACTTCCAAGGATGGGAATTCTTGCATGTTCTGGACACTGTATTTTAGAGCATTGCTGCTATCATTGTGAAGACACTTGTTTTCCGTACGTGTAATCTGAATTCTTCATTTTGCGACTGATGATGGTGGCCTCTTGTCCGTTTGCTGTGCAGCTCTTGAGGAGAGTCTGCTTCTATGTTAACAATTGTCGGTGGAAGACTAGCTGGCTGTGTTAGCCTTTTCTTCTCTGGGCTACACAAACCCATTTTCCGTAGTTACGTGTATGCCATGGCCTCCAGCCCCCAGCTGTCTCACTGGACTGTCGCTGGACTTGCTGCAGTTTGTTGCCATCTCTTTTTCCCTGGAGAGCCTGAACCTGGACGCAGTATTCGAGATGCAGTCTCATGATTTCCTGATAATTCATTTTATCCCATTGTCGAGGTTGTTCATGAAGCTTTTAAAGGGGATTGGCCTTTATCAGCCCCTGAAGAATAACACTTAGAACCAGCTGCAAGTTAGATTGTGAAATTATAGACTTGAAGGCTTTATTTTAATGCAATATCTTACCAGGGTTGTTTGATATTTTTTTTCTTTCTTTTCATAGTTTAAATTTGCAATTGTAATGATGGGCCGACACCAATATCTCAATGAAGATGAGTATGAAGTGAACTTGAAAGATTTTGAGCCCCAACCTGGTGAGTTGTTTGACAACCTGACTATTCTTTTGACCTGCTGAAGTTGCTCTGCCAGTTGTTATAATGTGATTATTGTTAACTCAGGATGCAGAGATTGTTCTTTTTGCAGGACATACATTATAGGTAGTAACTGAGCAAGTGTGTGTGTGTGTGTGTATATATATATATATACACACACACACTTGTGTGCACTCTTAACTGCGTTATGTGTATATGTTAGTCTGAGAGTATGTATTGTATAGGCACATAAATAAATAATCTGTTTTGTTGTGAGTTAAAAGTTTGCATTTGAGTGACCAAATGGGTAAATATCAGTATAACATACTTCACAGAAGAGAGTTACAGTTGCACCTTATCTGTATTGACCATCTGCTCCCTTTTGTGGTTGATTCTCACATCGTTATTGGAGGATGTGCTGGTGTTATTCCTATAAATTGTTTATTTTAAGTGTGCTGCAAAGAGGTATTTGAATTCTCATATTCATTGAAGACACTTTGTGTTTGTTCTTGGTATCTTCAATGAATCTGAAGAATCTTGACAAGAATGTTACATGTGTGAGCAGGATGCTGTTTAGATTTTCTTTTCCTAAGGGGTTGTTCACCAAGCTAGAAGTGCAGCCCTGTTCTGAATCTGCTTGTGGATGGTCTATCATCTTGTTTATTTTTGAATAGTTTTTAAAGCTCTATTCTCTAAGGAAATTACACATAGGAGAAACCAGGTTAATCCTTCAGCAGTTCCACCACAGTCATCATCTGAGAGTTTCAGCTGGGAATGGCACCTTTGAATCTGCAGCCAGAGCTCTCTTGAAAGCCTTGAGTTCATCAGGTTTTTTCCCCAGTTTAGCTGAGTGTTGCTTTTTGTGAGCTGCTCTGTCTGGTAGAAGTGAGACTGAGGACAACTTACTCTCTGCAGTTCTATTTTTCTGACAATTATGAGCTCGTGTTTTTTGTTGGCAGGTTTTGCTAGGGCCAGACTTCTCTGATTTTTTTCAGGCTGTGTTCTGGATTTAGGTAACAGTTGTAAAGAAATCCTGTAACTGTCCATTTATTTCAGAACCCACAGAGAGTTAGGTACCATTAGTGCGTACTTTGCAGGAACCCAGCAAAAAGTCCTCTTGTTGTGGTATGTTACACAGACAGATTTATGGCTCGTGGCTGTGAGTATGAGGGGACTTGCCAAAGCTTTGAATGCCTGCATCTGCACAAGTCATCGTGAGCAGAGATGTGTGTCACTGGAGGGGCCTCTCGGCCCTAGTTGTGAGGGGTCTCTTGTTGACAGACTCGGAGGTGGACATTTCTCCACGGACAAATAAGCTCTCTTGTGTGCTCAGTGCAGGTGGAGTCCTGATTTTATTCTGTGAGTCATCTTTCTAGGGGCAGGAAGGGGAAGGCAGTAGTCTGAAATGGACTGTCAGACTTGCTGAGCAAAGCAGAGCCAGTATTGCCAAAACAACGGGAAAGACAGACTAGGTAACCAGGTCAAAAGTACAGAACGTGGCAGACATTGGAAAAGGGAGAACTTGGACTGTTTGTAGGAGCTGTAGGGAATGTAAGATTAAAAGGTTTTAATTTGAGAGTTCACAGGAAGTTACCCCTTCAATGTAATACGCTTTGATAGAATTCACCTCCAACACACCCCCCTGAAATTCTCCTATGTGGTGATAATATGATGCTCTAATGCCTTCTTATCTAAGTATCTCAAGGTGTGGGGCTCATGCATTTCAAAAATGCCAAATTTTAACATGGGCTGGGCTGATTGAACCAAAGCTTTGGCATTCTCGTACTTTGACTGATGTAGTTTATTTCAATAGTGTCCCTCTGCTTGTACAGAAATGCACTCTAGCGATGATTGTGCTGGCGCTAACAGTGTAGGACTTCATTTCTTTCTTTGAAAGGCATTCATGTCATCTCAGAAAGATTGGCAGTTCTCTTTTATATTTGACATTAACCATTATGTCAAACAAAAAGACAAATAATATAGATTGAAGAATATATATCCAAAAATGCAGATGGAAGCAACCAAAAAGGTCAAGCGTTTTATGCTTTAGTGGTTGCAGCTGATGGCTTTGAATGCAGGAGCGTGCTTTTCTTGCTGGGGGGGCTATTGAATTTCTGCCTTTGTCATTTCACCTCAAAGAACATTTGATGCTCTGCATTGAGGACATCTTGAAAGAGAATTTCCCCCATTTGCAAGAAGTATGTGTACTGTGGTTTGTCATGAAGACTAATGGTAGATAAAACCATATTTGGTTGAACAAGTGAAAAAATAGGTGTGTTTTCTTTTCAATCTAAATATGACTAATTTTTTTTTCTCAGAAAATGAGGAGGTCAGTTACATGATTTCTTAATTAACTGATTATGTGCATTTTGCATGCATTTAACAAATATTCCCACTTAAACCACATGATAAGAATAATACAATAGAGATAACTTATATATGGCAAATACTCTAGGTTGTCATATTTAGATGATGGATGCCTTCCTGTTTCAAACAGGCTCAGCACTTTGGTGAAAGCTGGTACTTTGTGCCTGTGGCCATAAATTATAACAGGAGTTTTCTTGCTTTAGTACACACTTCTGTAAACTCCTGTAAGTGACTGAAGAGGACAAAAAACAGCTACCTGGTCCAGAAACAGCTGTAAAATGTATTACTGGAAGGAAAGCAGCCATCAGGAAAGACGCCGGGATGGCTGTGGACCATAGGGACTGTTCTGAAGTCCTCTTCCATACACTGTGATTCATAGCAAACTGTGAACAGGGCACACAGGAGTCATTTGTGTAAAGGAAACTTTCCAATTTAGTCTTATAACTTTTTTTTTCTCTTTTTTCTCTCCAGGCAACATGTCTCATCCAAGGCCATGGCTAGGGCTTGACCATTTCAATAAAGCCCCAAAGAGAAGTCGCTACACTTACCTTGAAAAAGCTATTAAAATCCATAACTGACTGACTTAAAAATAAATGTGTGTGTGCACCTTTTTAACAACTGTAGAACTTTGGTACACGTGCACTATATCTGAAGTCTTCAGCAAGAGGATTTGCTGCTGATGTTAATTTTATTTTGTTGAGGCTGTTCAGTTTGGCTTCTCTGTATCTATTGACTGCCCTTTTTGAGCAAAATGAAGGTGTTTTTATAAAGCTTGGATGCCAATGAGAGTTATTTTATGGTAAACGTAATGCAAGGCAATTGTCAGCATAATGAGGGAAGAGTTTAGTAGAAGAGTTGACATTGGCAAAATATTTGTCTGTAGTACGTTTATAGATGGCATAAGCTGGCTGGCTGCCCTTCCCAGTATGGTGTTCACCATCACTGCAGCTAGTAAGTCTTATGTTTAGACTCACATCAGATTTATTTCCTTCAGTTATACTTTAAATGACATTTTTGTGCATTTGTAAATGCAAAAAAACTCACATCATCAATAAATAGCAATCTCTACTTCATTGTGTACATTGTTGGCACTTATTCGGGATTTTTGTCTCCTCCAGCTGCATAGAATCTTTTTTAATAAACTAGTTTTCATTTAATTTAGTCACTACTTTGCATCCCGTTTTGCCAAGTGGATGCCCTGAGTCCTAAAAAGAGATATTTGTATCTCTTTATGAAATTTCAAACCATTGGTAAATACCATTGTGATTTATTATGCCATCTTCTGGCAAATAGAATGACACTCAAAAGTTGGCAAAAGCAAGTGAAAGGATTATGAATATCATTAATTTAGCTAACATGGGAAGAGATGGGGAAAACACAAGAAATAGCCTTTTAGCACAGAGGGCATGCTCACTAGTGTTTAGTAAGCTGTTGACTTTGTATAAAAAAGGAGGAAAAAAAAGAAAAAAAGAAGAAAAAAAAGAAAAAATGAAATTGTATATTTAATGAATGAACATGTACAATTTAACACTTGGAGGTTAATTTTGTTGGGTGAGTCTGCAAGTGAATTTCACTGATGTTGATATTCATTGTGTGTAGTTTTATTTCAATCCCCAGACTGCTTCCGTTTATTTTGGAGCTAATGCCAGCCGCGTGTCTAGTTTTGAGTGCAGTAAAGATAGAATCAGCAATTCACACTTAATTTTACATTCTTTTCCAGTATTTTATTTTGTTTCTGTAGCCGCAGTGTACAACAACTCTTCCTGTATATTGCCTTTTTTTGCTGGAAAATGTTGTATGTTGAATAAAATTTTCTATAAAATTTTTCTTCGGTGAGTGATGACATGGATGTTGAAGAAGATTTCTCCTCTCCTTGGAAATAGTGTGTTGGGAAATGTTTTAATTTGTGAGGTTTTGCTAACGGTGTGGGGTTTTTTTTTCTTAAGTCTTGACAATTGTATAACCCTCGTATTGGTTGTTTTGGGGAAAATTTGTGAGTTTTTCTGTTTAATTATTTTGGGGTTTGGAGTTTGGTTTTGTTTCTTTCTTTTTCTTTTTTTTTTTAACCTCTTAACTAGTCACATTTGAGCTTAACAAATAAAAGGTTTTCCAGGAAGGAGCCATGTACAAGTAAGACAAATCGAAAAATTATTTTACTAGTTTGTTTGTAAAGCTTGTAGTAGAGTCTTTGTGGTAGACTTGACTCTGTCTGCCTGCACAGAATTTTTGTGGTCCAGATTCTCAAGTCTAATGTTATAAATGGCATACGGTGAAATCTGGAGTCTCTAAAGGTAAGCTCTCTTAATAGAGTAATAGATGCCCACCGTAATGCGTTCCTGTGTTCATAACCAAAACAGAAAGTGCTTAGAAGCTTCCCTTTCCTATCAATAAACATTTAGTAGGGGTTCTGTACATGTGATGGCCGTTACATTGTTTTCTGAGATGGATTCAGATGATTATTAATTTATATCTTACAGTGCTTTTAACTGTCTCCTATTTCCAATCAAGGCAAACTAGTAGTTTGGTTTTTTGGTATCTGAGTGCGTAGGTTACAGGTATAGGGAAGTGCTTAAATGTCATGCCTTAAGTGAATAAAGTTTTCCTTTGATTTGTATTGGCACCCAACTCATGAGAATTACACCACCATCCAAGTGGTATTTTTACTAGTACTTGGATTGTCTCTCCAGGCCTTCAGTAGGTGTCAGGACTTGTATTCAAAATATTTCTGTAAAATCAGAGACCGGTCAGCAGTAGTAAGCCCTAATTATATTGTGTGAGTTTAATGTTACGGTAGACTGATATAAAATAGAGCTTGTATCTAAAAGTCAGTAAGTTCTCATGTTGATTTATGGGATGTTGGCAGCTTTTAGGGAATATCTTAAGATATCACAACTCTTCCTATTTCAGAAGAAAATATCACTAACAAAGTAAATTTTTTGTGCCTTTTTGATTTTTACATGACTAGTTTTTACGTGCTTCGGTATGCTGTTCCCACACTAGTTTTGAAAAGATGATTCGTTAAGGCATTCCGTATGCAGTTTTCAATAACAAGTTTTTAATGAAATTTTTTTTGGAGCACAAGTAGCTTTTTATTCACATGTGGAAACACACACCTATGAAGAGCAGAGGAACACAGGAGGTTTTCTCAGGTGCAGTATGTTTATTTAATTCATTCTAAAAACTTTACAAGAATACAGTCTCCAAAACTACTGTGCTTTCCAGTTCTTATTCAGATTTTGGAATTATCTGGATAATAGCAAGTGCATTGAGTTAATGATAATATAAGTGTTAAGCAATAAGGATGTACTTTCATGGTAAACAGCATCAGACCAACATGATGTTACTGGCCCATCGGAATTCTCCCTACAAAAGTAGCAAGTGGTGTTCCTGTAGGTTTACATAGTGCCTTTCATCCTAAACGAGTCCAAAAGGCATTCTGTGAAACCTGAGCAAATCACACCGGTGACATAGCTGCTGACTAGAGAGCGCCAGCCAACAAAAGCACCCTTGATACAGGAAGGCTTGCTTAGCAGCAACGAACTAAGCAGCAACGACCCTGTGCTGCCGCAAGACGCATTGGAGGGATGGGGCCGATGCTGTACCGCAGGATATGCAGAGCACGCGGTGCCTCCCGTGTACTGGATCTACCTCCGCTGGTGCCCTCCGGAGCTGGCACTGGCATCCCGCCCCAGCCCCCCCGGAGCCTGGACCAGCCCCTCCTGCAGGCGCTGTGCTGGCTGCCGGGCCCAGGTCTGAGCTACGCCATGCTTTTGCTATTTAATATCCTTTGTGAGAAATGGTTTCCTGTGGGAACTGTGTATATTGTAAATAAAATAGCCTAGGATAAACACTGCGCTGGTGTCTTGTCCGTTCATTTTAGGAAAGATGGGGAGTGAAAGCTGATGGGTCTCTCAGAAGGCAGGGTAATTTTGGTTAGATGAAAGAGATAAATTTTGCAAAACCGAATTGTGTGTCAAGAATGACTTTGATAACAGAGAGAGCTGGCAAGAAGGTAAATGCAGGCCTCTGTGGCAATTTCCAGGTTTTTAACTCTGTTTTTTCTCAGAAGAATTAAACAAGCATTTGGATTTGGAGGCAGGGTTGGTGTTTGGTGTGTGGGGGTTGTGGTGTCATTTATTGTTGGCTTTTAAACCAGCCTGGTCTTTAGGGTCAGAAAAAGGGGAAAATGTTCATGTGTGATATGCTTGAATCTGGCTTCAAATCTGTGCTATTTTCTGTCCCAGGGGATGCTGAAGTTAGCTGTGTACCAAGCAGGGCAGGAAATTAAAGTTGTGAACCACCAGGCTGTAGCTTGAAGCCTTCTTTTTTATTAAATATTTGTGTAAGCTCTTGTGCCTCCAAATATTGGTGTAAACATGTTCTAACCACTTCTGTTAAATGTCTTCTGCACATTTTAAATCATAGCTGTATAATTTCTTTGTTAGGTATTTTTGCTTGTGCGCCTTTCCTCCTAAGTGTTATCCAACCTGGGTTGTTATTTACCACTACTTCAAAGCAAAGCTTGCTGCTTCACAGCCAGATTTTAAAATGGAGCAAAATTGTAACATTTCAAAAAAAGTGTGAAACGCTACAAAACCTGTTGGGTTGACAACTGCTTGGCTGGGTGTTGGATTTAACCGTTGCGGTGTTCTTTCCCATTAGGTCAAAGTGGAGTGGCTCCGCAGAGGATGGAGAGTTCCTGGCCTTGGCCCGGAGTGAAGGCGGGGCAGCTGCGCGGGGCATTGCCCACACTGCAGCGCTGGGCGCGGAGGCTGGGAGCTGTTGGCTCTGGGCTTTGTTCAGGGCCACGGAGTCATCGTAAAAGCTCCTTTGTAGAAATACCTCACCTGAGAAATTGCACTACCCCGTCTGTACTCTTCTTAGAGCTTGTGAGTGTCTGAATGTATAAAAATAATTCAGACACAGATAATGGACAGTTTGTTTCCGAGTGGTTTAATTGGAGCACGTGCCATGTTCGTGGCCTGAGGACAGCCAGGGAAGGGTTTGTTAAGTGGGATCCTGGCACTGAATCCTGGTTCAGGCTCCGTGATGGTGATCAGCATCACTTTGGGCATTGCAGCTGATGAGGCGTGGGATGCTGCGTCACACTGTGCTTGCTCTAAAAACAGTTTCTGCTTTGCTAATAGCAACAGTTTTCTTCAACAGTATCACCTGGTTTTGCTGTTCTCATCTTCAGCAGGGCCATGTGTCATCTTCGGTGTGTGGTGTCACCAGCTGCCCGCATAGACCCCAGCCTGCTCTGGAACCACCCGCTGAGCGGTGGTCCAGGAGTCTGGCCGGCTGCAGACGGGAGTCTGTGTACTCTAAAGCCGGCGGTTCTCGTGCCTCTCGGAGCAGAAAGCCGCGCA